ATATAAAGCTTGATGGATCAGAAGGTCTTTGTGGTTTTGCCTTTTGTGAAACTTTTGGCAAGGCAAGGTCCTCATCTTGTTTTAGGCCTTTTTAACCCCCTACATTACAGTCATCATGTCAGTGACCTCAGTGACTTGGTAAATTAATATATGCATTATATGCCAGTGTATCTGGTTAGTGTTCTCAAGAGTTATGTATGAGAAATACTTGTGCTTGGTTTTGAGGAGCACCATCAGGTTTTTGCTCAGATCATTACATGCATTTAAAAAAAGCCCCCGTAAAACTGGCAAAATGATAGCATCAGCATTTTAAACTTTCTGATACTGTATTTGAAGTGATGACACACAAGTTAAATTTTCTTGAAATTTGAAACGTCAGACTTTATTTTAGACATATCATTATTTTTACTTGTTTGATTAAGAATATATTCCAAACACTTAAATAACAGCAGAGCATTTGTCATCCAAGGCTATATACACTCCAGCATGGTCTTAAGAATTTCTATAGGGTTATCAGTGAGGGGGATTGGGTTGCCAGAAAGTTCTTCACACTATGCTAAAAAAACCTCTGCATACAACAAACTTTGGGCTTACCCTGCAGTGTGGTGAAGGACCTCATTAACTTCAGGGTAGGCAGAGCATTGGAATGTCTTCCCTTGGTGGAAAAAATTTATTGACAGGAAGTATTTATTATGAAGAATAGGAAGTCTTCACCAAGAAGAGGGAACACAAGTTTCCTTGGAATTAACAACTTAGTCATCCTTTGTGATTTACAGTAGAAGTGAGTTAGGAGTGTGGATAAAATAATGAGAAGAAACTGAGCTCTTATTGGTGGGACAAAGGGGATCACATCTAAAGAACATGTTGGTTCATTTAGTACAACTTATATAAGAGGAATTTATTTAGTTGGCAGACTGTCTATTCCCAAGAAAATGCTAATTTTGGGGAGTTGATGCAGTGAATTTGACCAAAAAAATCCTTGGGAGTGCATTTAATCCTTAGTTTGTAGTATGAACAATAGAACAGTAAAGCTCTTCTCAGTTGAGAATTAAACAAGTGGTGAGGCAGTGCAGTGATTTACTCTTTTGCTACTTAAAAATCTCCCTTTTGTATTTATCTTTGCATACGTGTTCGGACCTTGGAGTTAACTCTGAACCACAATTCATTCTTAAACCACTGTCATGCATCTCTGAGTCCTGGTTGGAATGTCTCTCCCAAGGACTCTTACCACCAGGATCCTGCTTTCCTCTTTCTTGTCAGCAAAATCAACATGGTAAGACCTCTTGGTCCTCTCACAGTGAAGAGGCAGTCTCACTTTGCATGTGAACTTCCATTTGCCCTGAGCCTCTTAATGGATTGGCAATGCTTTTGTTTTGTCTACAGGAAGGATATTACATTATCTTCATTACCTCCAGCAATATATGGATTTAGGGCATTGGCTGTTGCAAATTATCACACCTTTCTGAAGAATCTTTATTGTCACACCTTTCCGGAGATCCAGTAGAAGTTATTAGTGGATCTCCAAGATATTTTGCCTATATGCATTTTCCCTTTTGCCTTATAATCTCCAGTGGAGTTATCTGGAAATCTGACATTGAGAGAAGCTCAGGACTTCATAAAGCATGTAACTTCCACTCGGGGAGAGAACATGAGGATACACAGTGTGAGTTCACTTATGTGAGCATAGTTGAGGTAAAAAGCCCTTCATCTCCTTTTCCTTTCAATTGTTAGATAAAGAGTAGGAACTGAAAAATTTCATGCACAAGTTTTCATATAGAAGTTTTTCCAGTTGTGCTCTCTCCTAGATATACATGCATGCTCTATGTAATGTGTAAGTCACTGAGAAGAATATGATTAACTGACTTTTATTTATTTTTTTAAACTGATTGCATCTAGTATACACAGATCTTATTCTTCAACAGTTTCTGGCCTGAAAAGTTGCTGGCTCACCAAATTCTGAAGAGAGGAACCCACTCCCCCCAAGAAAGAAAGACAAACCCTCAGTCAGTAGTAAAACTTAAAACACCAAGTTCCTGTAAGATGCTCATTTGATAAATTCAGGAATATAAAAGAAATGTGCATTGGCATATGTCTTGTGTACAGTTAATGGGCAGCAAATAATATAGTTTCTGGTGCCTTCATAATCTAAAACTCCATCAGGCTAATGCAGTATTTTATCTACTGCCAGTGCTGCACTTCCCTGCTCAGTTCAAAGTCTTCCTCTTCCCACTGCACCTTAATTAGTACATTAATTGATGTTGATAAAACTCATCATGGATGGTTCGTTAACTGTTCTTCATGTTTTCATTGAAGAGCCGTGTAACTGCTTTTGTAGTCTCTTGGAAATGTTTGGAGAAAATGATTACAAATAAACATGTTACACTGAACAGTACAAGTTGAACAAATATGCATTTTCACATGGTTAAAAAAAAAAAAAAGAAAAATTTCTGATGTCTTGTAAACAAAAAAAAAAAAGTTCTATTGGAGCTGATTTCAATCAGACCAGCCTCCAGGAAAGCTTTTGTCTTTGTCCTGACAAACTTTGCTCTTCAGAAAGAGAATGATTTGTTGACTGAGAGGAACCATTGGCTCTTCATTTTGCAATCTTATTTATTTTTGAGGTTGGGTTGTACTTGGGCTTGAAGTCCCTTTAAGAGAAGCTAGTGACTCTCTTAGAGAATACGAAAGAGATGTAATGTATTTGTGTAGCTTATATTGCTTAAGGGAGAGACTGTAGTGTAATAAAGGATTTTTGCTGTTTGAGAAACCTTCCAAGATGTGCATGATACTTTCAAGAAAGTAAGATGATCGGTCTTCTCTGAGCTAGGGCTTTATTTTTTTATGAATTACAGACATTTAGTATAGATGAAACAGCTTGCCATCCTTATTAGCAACATTACAGCTTCAAAAGAGACTTTGGGTTCTCAAATGCCCTGCCCTATGCTTGGAAAAATTACACCCTCCACCCCCATTTGACTCTCCATTTGATTTATTTGGATAACTGTGATTTGAATTTGCATTAAGGAGATCTCTAAAGGAGCTGGTGAGGAAAATTTCTCACCATTTGCTGACTGATACCCAGACAGTCCCTGAGCAGCAATCAGCCCCTCCTGGAGAACTCCCCCCAGTTTATATACTGAGCATGGTGCCCTGTGGTATGGAATAGCCCTTTGGCTAGTTCGGGTCAGCTCTCCTGGCCATGCTCCTCCCAGCTTCTTATGCACCTCCTCACTGGCAGAGCACAGGGAACTGGTAGAGGTATTGAGGAGCTCTTTAAGAAGTAGATCAATAATATTTTCACTGAGCCTTGTAGAGTGCTTCTTTTTATATATGATGGTATATTAATGCACTGTGAAGGAATGCAGTGTTGCTTTTGGGATATAGAAGCAGCTCAGTGACTGTGACAAAGAATTTAACGTATTCAAACCAATGTGAATTAGTTACTGTAACCAGTATTGAGAAACCCTGACCTTCAATCCAAAGAAAAGTAATTGAATTTTTTGGAGGGCAGGGAATAGTGTCTTTTAGAGTTGTATTTAGACAATACCAAAACATCTGTAGGTAACTTACTGAAGAGTCAGGAGGGGAAGTGTAGGATCAGAACCAATTTTTCTCAATTATTACGTTAAAAAAACCTTGTCAGTTTACTTCAGATAAAAGAGAATACAACTTGAGCGCGTCTATGAAAATTGTATTTCTTCAGTCTTAACCCTTACTTTTTATGTGGACAAGATAACACATCACACAGGTGGGGAAAACAGTGAGTTGGAAACATGAATAGCCATGCATTCTAGCATCCTCTTCAGAAAGTGTCTTGGTCTCTTCTGAATTTTGGGTAGGAAAAATAATTCATTTGCCTACGCACTAATTCCTTGTAACTATTTACATCAACTAAGGAAGAAAGATAAAAGCCTTTGGTAATAGATCATCATTGAACTACTGTTCTTTCTTAGAAATAGTGTCTACAATGTTGATAAGTGAAGATTTGCTTTTATTTTACAGCAGCTCAACTGTAGAACTGGTTGCATGAGTTTTGAATAATTACAAATTAACTATGCATATCTGTGTTTATATCTATGTTGGTATTTGCAGCACTACAGAGGTCTATTTCCCAGGCAGGCCTTGAGCTGCATTAACACTGGAGTGATTTATATGTATTACAGCTACTTCAGTGAAGGCTATTCAGACTAATAACTGTGTAGTAGTTTATGTAAGGACATTATATGATTTCAGTAAATGAAAAGATCTACTGGATCCCAGGATCCCAGCCCTTCTTTTGCCTTTGTGAAGCCTGTCTGTTAGAGCCTGTTGATGTTGAGTTGCAGTTCGCTGAAATGAGTTTTCCTTCATCTCTTCAAACTTGAACTGTGGAGCTTAGTGGAAGAGCTCTTTTCCTTTCTGGAAGCTGTATCTCCATGGTGTATAGTAAAATAAAACAGAAGATAGACTTGTTATTTCACAGATTTCGGGTTTCCTTACACTGCAAATGTATAAGTTGCACTGATATGACTATTTCAATACAAAATCGTACCAGTAATTAAAATTATGATCCGTGGATAGCTCAGGACATAAATCATTTGATGTTTCATTACAACAAATCAAGGCAAATATTACTTGATCTTTAAGGTCTTAAAGGTAAGTTTAAAAAAAAATAAAAAGCTGGACATGGTTTGAAGGGCTCTGAAAGATTAACAGTCATGATCACAAGCAGTCTAGCTGAAGGCTTAGGATCTTTGAAATTTCCTGATGTTATCTAAACACCACTCTGCAGCTATTGTGCTGAACATAAACTGGGGAGAGGTCATGAGCTTTGTTACTGTCACCCTTTTCTACAGCTCCTTTCTTTTTTTTTTTCCCCCTGTGTTTTCTTGTTCAGATATGTTCTTTGATAAATTAATTTCCCCAAATAATGAAGGCTTTCTAGCAGAGATATTTTTTGTCAAGTTTGAGAATCTGGGGATGAATACTTGCTTACAAAACTGTTTGTTTGTTTATTTAAGGTTGCTAATCTTGCTTGTTCCTTGTCAACAAATGAAGATGGAATGAAAATTGTCCAAATGGCAGCTATTCACATAGAGACTTTGTGCCCACAGGTATGACTTTTTCAATTAATTCCCATTACAGTACACTGAGCATACACTGTATTTTTGTCACACAACATAGAAGTTTAGTCATGCTCCTTCAGTCTAAATTCACATTCTGTTCACACAGCTCAGTGTAGTTAATGGAGACCAAATGATAAATCAAAGGCAAATACTCAGCTAATTTGTTTATTTTTTCTTATTGGTTAGTATAGAAATTGTTAATAGCCTGTATGGATTGAGAGTTTTAAAAAGCTGTAAAAATTGCAATTGAAATAGCATGCTGCTCTGTTCCTAAAATTAAACCTGATTCGATGAACAGTGTAACATATTAGGCAAATTTGGAGTATTTTTACTCTTAGAAAGCAATATATATTTTGACCTTTAACTTGAAATATTATTACCACTTGATTTGGTTTTTGTGTATGTGAATGTTAAGGTATCAATTCTTCTGATTATCATCAATTCAAAAGCTTGAGTTTTTGTCTTAAGCACATGAATGAAAAACAGCACAGCTACAGATAAATTTTTGGTACCTAATATCTTATAAAAAGTGTATTCACTCTGTCACGTTCAATTAGAGATATATAAAAACTTCTGCAGTTAGATCTGTTTAGGACAAAGATTTTACTGATTTGTGTGCATATGATCTGAGTGTTTTAGCCTTGAGGCTGCATAATTTCGGGATCATTAGTTCTCTGAAGAACAGTAGTTTACACAGTGTTCTAAATTTTCTTACCTTTTTTTGTGTTTGAATGCTAAATGTAGTTGAAATAGAAACTGAAGAGCAAATATTGATAATATATTCGGTTATAAACTTGAGAAGTCCATTTTACGCCTGTTGAGTAAACTCAAGACTTGGAGGGAAAAAGAAACTTCTATCAAGGAAACATGATATTCTGAAAATATCACAGATGAGGGCGTACACTTTAATTGTTCAGTTTCAATGCCTATTTTTATAAATTTTACATTTCTGTGTTTCACATCCCACTCTATTTAATTTATCGTGTTACTGGTTTTGTAAGAAGATTGCTGGCTTGTAAGAATTCATGAATAGCTTCTTCCAGCTTCTTTGTTTCTCCAGGGGTACAAATGCACCTTTATAATACATTATTATGCATCCAGATGTAGCTTTGTAATTGAAAACCTACACTTTCAGTATTGCATCTGATACCAGAAACTCCTAAAATCCAATTTTGACTAAATTATTGATTTTCTGCACAGCCATTTAAGTTGCTAGGGTTTTAATTTCCTGTAGTAGAATGGAAGTTTCTTGTTTGGTTGTTGTTTTTTTTTTTCCCCTTTTTTTTTAACCTCAAGGTAAACCAGGGGTGAATTAGTTGATGATTATAGATCTGTTTAAACAGAAAATGTGGTATGCATATGATAAAATTATATTACTATTAATGATGTGTTCATTGTGCAAGATTTATTCCTTCCTTAGATAAGGACCATTCCCTGCAAAAGCAATTGTCATTTTACCTAAGTAAGAAATAGCAGAATAAAGCTCCTGCATTTTTCAGTAAATCAGATTATGCGATATCATTTAAAAATCCTCCACAGTGAAAATAATTATCTCTTAAGATCCCTACAGGACATATCAATTAGAATTTGTATTGGGGAAATTTGCATTTAGAACTCCCCGATGTTCTTAAATCTTTAGAGTAAAAAAAATGGTATTTTATGTGCTCTGGAAAACACAATTCTTGAGGGGAACCTTATGGTTTGGATTGAAATCTGAAATGGTTGAGTTGAAACAGAAAAAAACCCAAACCCCCCACCAAGAAAAACCAACAGTGAAAACAACATCTGCAGAAAACACCTTGGAGTCTTGGAATTTCTGCAGATTTGACCAGCAAAACTTCCCATATATCACTGGGGAAAAGGCAAGTAGAGAATTGACAAACCTTTGAGGAAAACCTTTTAACTGTTAGAATTCATAGACGTGCTTATGTTATATTAATTATACTGTACTGTAGTTAAAATGTAGAGGGTTAATTTTTAACTCTGACCATTTTTTTTTTCTTAAGTGAGGTTATTAGCAAATATTTTGACTGTTCAATAAATGAAATAAACTAGGCATATACGTTAGAGATGATATGAAACACATAATGCCTGTTCCTGAAATTTCATGAATACTTCATGAGAAATTAATTTTAAGAATATTTAATGTTAAATCAATAATACTGAATATTGTAAAGAAATAAAGATCTGCTAGCGTATGTTGTGATGAAGGAAGAGTTGTTTCTGGTTTGGTTGGGAGAATTGTCTTGAGTCTTGTCAGGTAGGTAAAATCTACAATGTCATTTGTTATATGTGGGAGTCCACTTTAGGTTCCTGGTGTGTAAACAAAATCATGAGCTCATCAAATGCGTGAGAAAGAAAAAAAAGGAGGAGAACCCACAAAAGCAAACAGGCCTCTGTTTTTGATCAAGGATACAAATCTGTAGAGCTGTTTTGCTAATACAGATCTTGGCTTTGTTACTCTTAGGCTTCAGCTCAGTTGGCATGCTTGAAGAAGTCTCTGGTTTGCCTAATAGTGATTCCTCTGGAATACGGAAAGATACGTGATAGAGGATAAACCTGTCAATACAGAGATGGAAAAATATCCTAAATATAGGAAACCAGAGATTAGCAGACAAGGATCTGGCTTCTCTGTCTAAATTCTTGATAGGTTTTTACATTTTTACAGGCTGATCAGCTTTCAGGAGGTTCAACAAGTATGTCCTGGCACACCAAGCCAAGAGGAGGAAAAAGGGAGAAGAGACCCAGAAAAAAATACGTGTTTGTGTATAAGGAGGATCTGGCCTGTTACTTGATCAGTTTTCTGTGTTACTATTGGGTCCTCTTTCCTTACCTCCCTTAAGGTAGGCTTTTGGTTTTGCTGGGTCGGGGAGCTCTGCTGAGGGATAAGCTTGAGGAATAAGGGTGCCTTCTGCAAACAGGCTCTGAAGAAGGGAGGAGGTGAGAAGGAAGCCATTGCTCTGATCTTGGCTGGAGTTGAAGGCCTTAGATATACGACTTAACCTGGGATAAGGAATACAGTGCTGGGGAAAGCAGAGAAGTAAGATTGAACAGTAGCTGAGGTAGGTGACAGTGTGCTTGTTCTCTCTGAAATTCATGTTTGTCAGAAACGCACATAGTGGAGGTGCTGTGATGCCCATAATGAGAAATAAGGACATTTTCCTCTCTGGGGGAATGGAAGCCAGGGAGTGCCAAGAGCATTAATGCAAACAGATCCCAAGCTGATATTTTTGAGAGGAAAAAAGACCTTGAGCCTAAAGCTGGAACAGATGTTTCGAAGTGAAGATCAGAAGTGGCTCGGTCTCAGGGCAACAGCTGGGAAGAGCTTCAGCATGTTAAAGGGCTCCGACTGGAGCCTTTTAGTAGCATAAAGACCCCTGGAGACTTAAGGAGCAGGAGGTTTGGGCTTGTTTGGAAGAACCATACCCAAAAAAGCAAATTTAGGCTGACTTCCTTTGAAGGTGAGATCTTGCTAGAGCTTCCTACTAGTTACCAAAATGGCACAGGGTGATTAGTTCTGCAGTGAGCCACCTCCATTCTAGTATATCATGCAAGGAAGCGAAATGCAGGAAAAACACCTGGTACCTTAATCTTAATTTGGTGATAAGTAAATTTAAAAAAATCATTCGATCCCATGCAATATTTTTATCATATATTTTTAAAAAGACAAGGTATACACTGGTATAACCAGAACCTCAGATCTCAATGTTTTTTTTAAGTTCTGGTTTTCTCTTAAGTATTGAGAGAGAGATACCAACCGTCTATTCATAAAACTATTAGGTGAGAAGGAAGTCTATGTAACAGGAAATCCATTAGGGGTTGATTTACTTGTTGTGTTTAAAAAATAAAAATGGAGATGAGGGAAGCTAGCCTTTAAAAAAAAAAAAAAAAAAGACACTGTGCATCTTGAGCTATTTTAATTTTATATGAATCTGTCACCTGATTTATCTTATTAACTTGCACCTAACCTGGAATATATCGGAACCAGGTATTACAGCATATTCCAGAATTAATTCCTGAGCTGCTGGAGGAAGTTTGCAAAGATGTAAATGTCCTTCTTTATAGCTAGCTATTGTTGATGCAAAATGTATTATGGGGAAGACATTGATTGAATGGATATGAAATGCATGCCGAGCCAGCTAAATTCATGGTCACTTCTAATGTGAAGCGTACATGTTCAGATAGTGATACTGGCTCTAAGAGTGCTGATTGCCTGAGTCTTATCTTTATATTCAAGCTATTGGAGCTGTTGTCTAAAAAGCAGTGCCCATTATACTTCATTTAGTAAATACATATGATGAAGAGAGAGTGATTTGTGGTAGGTCAAAAATTTTGTTGCGAGCAAGGCAGAGTTACAACCCATAGTAGATTTGGATACTAGGGTTTATTTAAGAAACAGGGAAATCAGTTTCCACCCTCTTTGATGATACCACATACTCATTTGGATTCTCCACAATGTTATTTTCACTTGGTCTTGACTTTCCTTCCCAATGGGGAAATTGCTGCTAGTCCAGGAAGGTTGGGCAGAAAGTTATGGTGGTTTTGTCCTGTATATCTGCTTGCAGTGTCGGGCGTTACTATCCAAGGTCCCTGGGTGTTTCCCAATATTTGTCTCTGCATATTTTCCTGTCCTCAGGGATCTTTCCTCACTTCCAGGAGTGTTTCTTCAGCAAGGATCTTTTCCCAATCTAAGTGTGTGTGCAGAAGCAGGAAGTGTGATCCGCCTCCTAATTGGTGGCCATGTTTTGTGTTTCTTTATTAATGGGACGACTCAGGATGTGTCAGCTTTGTTTAATTGAGATGTTAACAATTTAAAATCGGCACATAGCAGTTGCAGCTAACTAGTACCAGGCTTGATCTCAGGAGTTCAGACATTCCTCTTCCCCTGTCCCAGTTTTCTGCTGCCTGTAAGTGTTCACACTGAACTATTTTTTGCCTACCACAGCCCTGTACTGTTCTGAAGGAACCATTTGGAAGTAGAGGAGGTG